GAATAATAGGGGGTCCCAAGTTGCAGGCAAATACACACTTGTGTGTACATGTAGATGGTGAATTGTACAACACTATTTTGACCGGGATGCATGGACTGGTTGCCACATTACCATCACACCTTCTTAGGCAGTGGCACAGTGGGCGGGAACCAGGAAGCCTTGCTTCTTTGCATTGAGCAATATTGCGTGGATGTTTTCACCACTACGATAGCGAAATGCAAAGGGAACTTTTGTCTTTTTTTTTTTGGAATTTTTAAATGTGTTTTTCAAACTTAGCGATTTAAATTTTATGGTCATGCCAAACAATTTAGGATCGGTCGCGTAACCAGAAGTAGAACTTTTTGGGGGGCCCTTTATCATCTGGGGGCAATCAGCTGTTTTGGTAGAGAGGTTTGACTGACGCAAACAGGCATGTGTGGTGGGCCGGATTGATTTCATTGCATGTACTCAACCTGGGCCACCAAATTTTCATGAGGGCCAGTGCGTGCCCTTCCCCACTGGCCCTGCAGGCCACCAAGAGATTGAAGTTAATTTTGACCCCTGCTGTCAACCTTATTTAGTCACAAGTGCTAGTACGTGTACATGCATGTTCACATAGCAAGCACAGTGAATGGGAAAGCCAGCGCTCTGCTTATTATGCAGTTCAGATAGAACAAACATTTTGGCAAGTTTCTGTGGATTTCATTCTCATGAGGGTCAGTAGGGCTGAGTCAGTTTGAGTAATTGTTCGAATATTTGACTTTCAATGCGATCGAATATCTGGATGTTCCGTCGCACTGACAAACCATTTAAAAAAAACAGTTGCAAAAAATGCACTCAGTTGTACAATATAATCACTATAACAGTTTCTAACTTCCAGGACAATCTCCAGCCATGATTTAGAAAGATTGAAGAGAACAATACTCCTTGCCCTGTTGAAAGTTTCCATTCGTTTTAAATTTCTTATTGAATTTACTTTTTGAATCATAGAATGGATTATTCTGTTGCTTTTCATTTCAATCTGCTTGAAACAAGCCTCCATTGTGCGATTTTCTCATTCAAAAAAAGAAAATTCGTCCCTTTTATTAATTTTGCATTCGAATATTCAAATTCAGAAAATAGTATTTGAATATTTGACAAGGATCGAATATTCGGATACTGCATGTACTACGTGTGCATTTAGTACATTTGGTTCTGAACATTCTCCATTTGATTTTTAAAAACTATTAGTTTATTGTGTACTTGACGTGTTTATTTTTTGTTTCATTTTGATTTGTATAGATCAACCCGTTGCAGATACAACATTGCTTTATGAAACATTGTCATAAATGTTTTTTGTACATATGCTGAATACCCAGCTGTACTGGACACTTTTTTTGGCTCTTTTGTCAGCCCTGTCTTGAAGTGTTGCCCTTACAAAGAAAAGACATTCTGGTGTGAAATTTTTGAATGGGGCTCATTGAAGTGCTGGGTGCACATGTTTGCAGAGACTGTACATTCAAACAGAAGTTGATCCAGCGCTCAGCATGCCGCATGACAAATGCACATGAATCTGTGTGTGCTTTCCCATGTAAGGACCATCAGTGGTGTGTAAAAACATGTCCTTTTGTTTCTACTCGGAGTTGATTGACCCCCTGACAAATTATTGCCAATCACAAAAAGCCAATCACAGATGACTCCCTAATGGGTCATTCTATAAATTTAGGGTCCAAAAGTGTGATATTTTTGTGTCCCTGTGTGTAATTTGACATGGAAATATCACTGAAATGATTTCAAACTATTTCTATTCGTTTAGGTGGTAATTTGCATCAATCCATCGCTCTTGGAAATTGAAAATGTGTTTCTGAACTTACAAAACCATACACGTATGTCAGATGTGACAGGGACACGAAAAAAATTGAACCCCTAACTTATAGAATGACTCTGATATGAAAATGGATGTTCTTGTAGGTTTCATTCCACAGTATAATGTCTTGGTGACAAACCTGTCAGGAAATGTTGAAATTCTTGTGACTGAGATGTCCAAATTTTTATGTGTCATGTTTTTTAAACATATACATTCAATGTAGATTCAGATACAGTATGCTGAGACTGGAATCAATACTTCAGGGAAACTAATGTTACAAACCATCCTTTTGCATGCCCACCTTAACACACAACATCTTCACTGCCTACATATACACTGTGTGGATACCTTTGGTCCACACAAAGTATAGCAATGGTTTACATGTGCAGGTATGTACTCTTACTACTCTTACAGAGGAGGATGAGGATGTAGAGCAAGACCCTGATGACACTGATCCTAATGCTGGCAGGTTTGTGCGCTACCAGTTTACACCGCAATTCCTTAAACTGAAGACTATTGGAGCAACGTAAGTTGGTTTATACATTCCACTACTGTATGTGAAGCTACATACTGTATACAACCAATGGCACAAATCTTTATTGGGACTGGTACCACGTTTCAGTGGGGGACATTGTAAAACAAATAAACATACTGTGCATCATATTTACTAAGCTTACATCCTTAACCTTGTGTCCAAACAAACCTTTTCGTTTCTAACCACAAAAAGTAGTGGAGAAAATGATTAAATCAGCCCCTCCTCCCACCATCAGCAAATGGAGATGGGGGTACAGTGGAATGTTGTCATAATGACCACATTGGGGTCCGCACAAAATGTTTGGTATAGCAGTTCAGTACAGTGTGTTTGAGTCACGGATGCTCGCTCCTGCTCTGAACTGTGGCCCAAATTCAAATATATGCCACCACCCACCCCACAAAAGCTTTAGTGTGCAAATTTTCACTCAAAAAGTACAGTTAGAAAATTTTTAAAGTTGAAATTCCTGCATTTTGTTAAATGTATGTTCTCTTTTCATGTTTCAACTTTCATGTTGTCCTCATTGGAAGTAGGATCACAGAAAAATAAAACAATACCCAAAGTGAAATCTAGTTTTCCTTTATTCATGGCTTAGAATTCATTTGTGATATGTGAAACTCGGTTACACTGGTTCCTGTCAGTAAAAAGGCATTTTGATAAATGGGGCATGCCGGGAACCATTTCTATTTCAGCAGCACAGGAGCCGCATGCATGTCCAAGTCAGCAACAAAATGTCAGGCGAGCATTTAAAAAAAAGATTAAACCTTGCAAGATATTGATGTAAATACATGTAAATAACAAATGGTTGTGTCTATTTCCTGTTTTGGGGATCTTTTGAGGTCAGATCTCCTGGCTTTGTGGTAATTATTATGCAAAGTTTCTCACACCTGCATTGGCAGTTGTGCATATGTACATAATGTACTTGGCAGCTGGTCTTCGTGGCCGCCAGTAGACACCTTACATATTACATGCAATATACATGTAAACTACTCAAAACCAATACATGAATTGACCATGCCTTGGGTTGGCCATTTTTTCCATCATAAATGCAATTTGCCCTAATTTTGAGTTATTATCATCGGTTCAAAATGTGTTTCTTTTAATGAAAACAAATTGTTATGTTTGATAAAAATGCACAGAGAGTTTCGGGAGCCAAGAGGGTTATACCCAAATGTGTTATACATGTAGCGGCATTCCATTGCATTTACTTCAACCCTCCCCCCACTCCTGGAGTTACGCCTTTAGCTGATTTATCACATTAGAAATGTGCTTCAAAGTTTTGTCATTGTCTCTGTTTTCAAATGTGTGGAATTCATGAGGAAATCTATTTATTTTATACTTTTAAGCGTGCCTCACCTTTAACAATTGTTGACTGCTGTGATGTGGGATATGACATTTTAAATACCCAAGGGAGTGCCCTGAGGCAAAGCCGGGGATGCTATGTGTGTTCAAGGATGTTCAAAATGTCATATCCCACATCATAGCAGTCAACAATTGTTTTGTCATACCTCTCTCTTAATGAATCTAATGAAACAAGCTCTGAATTTCAGAAGTTCAGAAGACGATAGGCCTATTGTGAAACTGTACAGTGTGTTTTAAAAAAAAGGAAACCAAAATTAATTTCTTCATTTCTTGGACATGGCTAAATATTTTGGAAATTGGTTTTGCACCAGATTCCATTACAGAAAACATCTCACCTCTGTTTACCTACATTTGCTTATCAGTGAGCATGTGTGTCAAATCTCACTGAAAAAGGTCGCCCAAGCCATACCCTCCGTGCCCACTGCATGTCCCCCATAAAAGGCTGCGTAGATTAAGAGTCGTCCTATTTTTTTTCAGCAATGCGCATAGTCGACGTCGTGTGAATTTAGTACACAATAAAGTTTAATGTTTACACGCAACCTTGCTATTTTCTATGTAAAAATGGCGAAGACCACCAAAACTCGACGCAGGACTGGAAGTTCTATCAATAGTTCAAGCCATGTTCCGGGCAAATCCCCCGGTTCCTCCAAGCCTGATCAGCCCTCCAAGCATGTCATTTCCGCCGTGTCGACCGAATCTACTCAGCCGTGTTCTACGAGTGGAAATTCCCCGGGGCCAAGTCCGTGACCAGCACCTAACAGGGCTTCTCCCCGGCAGGTTCCAGCACACCTTCGGTAGCCTGCATGAGCACATGGCAGCAGCGGAGTCCAATGTCCAGGTGCGTGCGGAACAGCACGGCCGGGCGCTCGATGCAGCACAGTCATCTGAACGTCCGGCCGCCCCCGCTCGGTCACAGAGGCCCAGGGCACCACCACCGCCTCAAGTCGGCAGCACA